GAGAGAGAGAGAGATGGAGTTCCTTCTCCGCTCCTGCTGCTGGTACTGCTGGTGCTGGTGCTGCTGGTGAGACGGACGTCCGGGTCCAGGTTAGGCGGATGAGGATGAGGATGAGGATGAGGATGAGAATGAGAATGAGAATGAGAACGATGGGTCCGAGGTGGTGGTGACAGCGTCGTCGTTGTGGGGCGAGGTGGTGACGGCGTCATGGGGGATGTGGGATGCGAGGAGGGGCTGGTGGGGGCGGAGGAGAGATAGAAGCTGCTGGCTGAGATGGTGTTGAGGAAGCTATGCGCTGAGAGCAATGGTGCTAGTCTCGGCTTTGGTATATAGACACACACACAGGCATTACGATAGAGGGTGTTGACATTGACATCAACAGATGATAAGTAGATGAGGGAAACGAAGACGTGGAAGGAAGTGTATACTTATATAAGCCAGTCTTATATACGCCAGTATCCGTTTTGGAGTCTTTTGAGAAATGGTTGTTGGGTCGGGTGGGCAGTCCAGTCATCCATTGCCCGCTCTGGGCCAAAAAAAGAGAAAAAATTAAGAGGGAAAAAAAAGGGAAAAAAGAGGACGAGAAGAGGATTTGTCGCTGAGCTCTCGAGAAAGAGGATGTGAACCAATGAACATGAAGGGGTTTCCTTCTTGCTTGTCGCAGTCGCTCAGAATATGTTGCGTGTATGAGTGAGTGAGTGAGCGAGCGAGCTGCTGCCGCTGCTGCTCGCCGCTACCCAGAGTAGATAGTAGAGAGAGAGAGAGATGGCCGTGACTACGACTACTACTCTACCACGACCCCAACCAAGCCGCTCCCTCACACCATATCCAGCTCGCGAGGAATTGTCCAAGGCCGCGGATAGATAGTGTAGAGGAATGGAAAGTCCCCGAGTTGAGTTGGGCGCGAAAACTTCTCTTGACTTGAAGAGTAGAGAGCAGAGTAGAGCAGAGTAGAGCAGAGCAGAGCAGAGACGGGCCCAGACGAGGTTGGGGAGCGCAAACTAACTATCACTGGAAGGGTCCTGCTTGCTTGCTTGGTACATCCATATCCCACATCTTGGGCTTAGGGTCCAGCTTGCTCCCGCCAGCCGACTGCGAAGACGAGAGAGAGGCTACCGAAAATTTCATGAGAAAAACATCTCTCTCTCTCTCTCTCTCTCTCTCTCTCTCTCTCTCTCCAAAACGAGAAACCCTCACCCCCAGAACTAGAACACATCACAGCCCACACACACACGCGCGGGCGCGCATACATCAAGGATCAAAGTCAAGAAAAGGATTTTTTTGGACGGGACGGACTTAGGCAAGAAAGAAGAAGAAGAAGAAGAAGAAGAAGCAAACCACTTCCCGATAGCGATAGGCCTCGCCTGGTCTCGACACCCACCATTATCATCATCATCATCATCACCATCATCACGTTCAAGCCGCCCACGAGTAGCGGCTTCGGAACCGCAAGCCGTGTGAGCAGCTCGGACCAGGGCTTCTGCTTTTGCTTTTTGGCCGGCTCACTGGAGCACCAATTCTTTTCTATCAATTTGAGATGAACGGGACAACCTTTGATGAAAATTTATCTGATGATAATTCCGAAAATAGGTGGAGAAGCGAGTTACGAAAGAGAGCAAAACAAAGAAACGCAGAAGTAGCCGACAATTCTCCCATTTTCTTTGGCCCGGGAAGGGGTCTGCGACAAGTTTGGAGGTTTGACGTGTCTGGACAGAAACCTGGGCTGGGAATCGGTTCGTGATAGAAGTACGATTGGGCTTGGTCTGTATGTACCCTTGATTGTCAGATAGGGAAGGCAAGACTCTGATTGTTTGAGGGTTGGTGGAAAAGGGGAATGAATACATGTGAGGTTATGCTTTGGTGGCCTTTTGCATAGATCAGCCCCTCGCTTCTGTTAACTTTGAAGAGGTGAGATGCAAGACATCAGACTAAGGATCTACATGCCATTGCCACCCACAATGCTGATAGGGTATTGGACATATTAGACAGGACAGACACGTAACATGTTCCAGTACTTGGCCAGCTGGTAAATTCAGCATCCCTCGACTGCCCAAGTGCTGCACTAAGGGTCCAAAAATCTTGTATTCCCGTAGGTAAAGATTTTACAATCATCCATTCGTCGCCCGTGATAAAATGCCGTAACGCCAAAAGACACATTCCGATCAGTGCGATTGCAGCCAAGCCAGCATTTGATCGAAAGCTTCGGCCTGAGCAACCTTGATCTTCGCGTCTTCGTATTCTCCAACCACCCCAAATCCATGAGGAACACCGGAATACGTTTTGAACTCGTTTTCGATGTTGTTCTCCTTCAAGTACTTCTCGCCATGCTCCTTGATCTCATCGGCAAAGAGCTGGTCGTTCTCAACACAGATGAATGCCAGTGGTGACTTAGTTCCTTCGAAATCCTCTCTAGTAACCAAGGTCGCATGGGCAATTGCTCCGGCTTTGATATACGGTCCCTTGTTGACAGCGCCAGCGCCAGCACCAGCCTCTTCGTCTTTCGCTTGTTGGATCCATGGGGCGCTATCGGGTTTCTCACCGGCCAAGAGCAGTGTCATCCTTCCACCAAAGCAGTAACCAACTGAATAGATCCCTCCGCCACTTGCAACGGCATCTGCGAACTCATCCTTCGCTGCCTCGATAACTTTTTGGATGATCGGAAGGACCTTTTCTGGTGTTTGGCGTGCCAGCCACATATCGATCAGGAACGATTTCGCAGTCTCCGCAGCCCGCATCTTGATTTGCTCGATGATTGAAGGATCCTTGTCTTCTTCGTATGTAGCAGAGCCTGGCAGCGGATCATCGGAAAACATATCTGGTAGGACGACGAGAAAGCCTTCTTTGGCGTATCTGTCCGCTTGGATCTGATTGTTCTGGGAATGGAGACCCGTAGCACCCGTCAGGAATAGTAAAAGCTTCGAGGGCGCATGAGGATAGTCGGCAGGCTTCGAGATATAGACATCGATCCCACCCAGCTGTGACATTTCCCCGCTTGGCCCTGCTCCCGAAGCTGTTCCAAGTCAGCACATGCTGTCTTGCTGGGCGCATTACGTGCAAGAAGTTCTGAAAATACTGACGAGTAGGTCTGTCCTTTACACAGTGTTCCTGGTAAAAAAGTCAGCGCTGCGGCTATCTTTTGCGTAAGTCTCATCTTACCCCAAGGCCGCCCATCGATGCACCGGTTTGCGCGGGAGTGTCTCCGGGGACAATGCTGGCGCTGGCCGTAGATGCCTCGGCCGCATCACTCTCTGGTGCCTTTGTCGCAAGCTCTGGGTCAGACATGGTCGCTCGAAGATGGTGGTTTGACTTTGGAGAAGTTGTTGGTCGCAAGAAGCTCGTATCGCAAAGGTAAGGTAGGGAGGCTGTGGGGTGGGACTGGGGCTCGAGGTGGGGTTGATTGTTTGAGCAGCGAAGCGAGCCACTCTACACGCCTTGACCTTCGAGAACGCGTCGACGAAAGGCATACCGCGTCAAAAAGAATTCCTGCCAACAAACATCGACAAAATCGCAACATTAAAAATGGCCGAAGAAGCGCAAAAGCATATCACTCGAGGTGCTCTGGAGTAATAATATATCCTCTCCTCAAGCTTTCGACCTTGCTAACCATCGTAGTGCTATTTTCAACGACCCCATCGCCCTCCAGGAGCAATACCCGGTTCCGGTATGCCAATGTGTACAGATCAAGACTCTTGCATCCTCCGGCGAAGGCGCGGCGGATCGTTATCGTCTCGTACTGAGCGATGTCGATAATTTTGTGCAGAGCATGCTCGCCACTCGTACGTCCCAAAGGCATTGTTGAACGCCCGTCACTAATGGCCTTCCAGAGGCAAACCATGTTGTGCACGAGGGAAAGCTGAAGAAGGGTTCTATCGTCAGACTCAAGCAGTACCAGGCAAATGCCGTCAAAGGCAAGAGGTTCGTAAACACGCGGTCCAGCTTTTCTAGTCTGTGACTGACCAGGGAAGAATTCTGATTATCTTGGACCTCGAGGTTATCGAAAGCTTGGGAGAGATGGAAAAGATCGGAGACCCCGTTGCTCTTACTGTAAAAGAAGAGCCAGATGTCAAGCCTGCGAATACGACAATTGCTGGCAACGGCTTTTACGGAAACCAGCCCAAGGCATCCGCTCCCATCAAGCAAGAACGAGCACTTCCTTCCCGGACTGGACCGTCGAGTTCCGCGTCGCATGCTACCATATACCCCATCGAAGGCTTGTCGCCATATGCTCATAAGTGGACTATCAAAGCTCGTGTGACTCAGAAATCTGACATCAAAACATGGCACAAGCCGAGCAGTGAGGGAAAGCTGTTCAGCGTTAATCTTCTCGATGAAACTGGCGAGATCAAGGCAACAGGTTTCAACGACCAATGTGACCAGTTATACGAGCTATTCCAAGAAGGCGCGGTCTATTACATTTCGAGTCCGTGCAAAGTCCAACTTGCAAAGAAGCAGTTCTCTAATCTCTCAAACGACTACGAGCTCACATTCGAGAGAGACACGGTCGTAGAGAAGGCGGAAGATCAAGCTGACGTCCCTCAAATCCGGTACAACTTCACCGGCATCGGAGAGCTTCAGAATATCGAGAAAGACTCCATGATCGACATTATTGGGGTTTTGAAAGAGGTAGCGGATGTCAACCAGATCGTGTCGAAGACCACACAAAAGCCTTTCGACAAGCGTGAACTCACTCTTGTCGATGAGAGTGATTTTTCTGTTAGACTGACAATTTGGGGAAAGTCTGCGGTCTCCTTCGATGCGATACCCGAATCGATCATCGCTTTCAAGGGCGCCAAAGTCTCGGATTTTGGTGGTCGAAGTTTGAGCTTGCTGTCTTCCGGGACCATGGCTATCAACCCCGATATCTCAGAGGCTCACAAGCTTAGGGGGTGGTACGACTCCCAGGGACGAATGAACACCTTCCAGTCGCACCAGAACATGTCTGGCGCGGGAGCTGCCGGGGGTCGAAGTGATCCCTTAAAGACAATTGCGCAAGTCCGAGAGGAAAACCTGGGCATGTCTGAGCAACCGGATTACTTTTCCGTCAAGGCCACTATCGTCTATATCAAGCAAGATAACTTTGCCTATCCCGCATGCTTAAACGATGGTTGCAACAAGAAGGTTATCGACATGGGCGACGGCAGTTGGCAGTGCGAGAAGTGCAACGTCAGCCACCCAAAGCCCGAGTATCGATACATCATGTCATTGAACGTGAACGACTACACGGGCCAGCTGTGGCTGAACTGCTTCGACGATGTCGGACGTCTGGTCATGGGTCATAGTGGTGACCAACTCATGGAGCTGAGGGAGAATGACACGGCGGCCATGGAGAAGGCATTCGAGACTTCAAATTGCACGACTTACATCTTCAAGTGCAGAGCGAAGATGGACAACTTCCAAGACCAAACAAGGTACTTACGTTCTCGTCAAATGATTTTTTTTCCCCATCGAAAATTTGACGTACGGGCCGAAATAGCTAATGCTAATCAATCCTTGATGCAGAGTCCGCTACCAAGTCATGAATGCCTCGCCCGTCAACTTTGTTCAGGAGGCGAAGAAGCTCGCAGATCTCATCAAGTTGTACAACATTGATTAGGTGGGTAGGTAGTAGGTAGTAGCTGTCCGGGGAGTCTTTCATTGTGTTTTTCTTGGGGATGGACCAATCCAATGGCAGTGTCATGTCATATGCATGAACGAACCGACGGGGCTCAGATTCTTCTTGCACGTAGATTACGGAGGGACGATGAACGGAGGGACGATGAAATATCTGGTGGGCATAAATGATACGGCGTTATGGCTCCGTTGTGTTCTTTTTTTACGGCAGTAGATAAGCAAATGAAGTCCTTTTTTTTTTCCACCCGATTCTGCTTGTATATTATGCATCTCACGGTCACTGCGTTTCCACCGAGTCCGCTATGATTAAGTATAGATGGCTCATGACTTCCCCTCTGCCTCCCCCCCCCCCCCCCCCTTCTCAAAAAGACTGGGTGAAGTAATAACCATCGAGTGGAAGCTGAGTTACATATAGATTCCTTGTTATTTTCTTTTCTCGAATTCGAAGAGCTGTTATTGTTTTTGTATCTCCCCTTTTTCATAAGCGAGGACAGGTAGCTAGCTAGGTACAAGCAAAACATTTACGCTTCAGATAGATAGATTAATAGCAAATATCAAGTAGAGTAGGCTTGCTTTTTCATCAAGATTTCCACAGCCTGCTGGCCCCGACAAAATTTCTCCAGTCAAGAAGATATCGTGCAGATAATCTTTCCTTTCGTCGTGTTCTTCTCCATGAGCTGATGCGCTTCGACAACCTGCTCCCAGGGGAAGACTCTGTCGATGAAGATCTTGAAGGTACCGTCTTCGAACTTGGACATGTACCTGCGAGATTGATTAGTAAAAAGCCTTCTTGCATCTTTTTATGTGCTTTAGTGTTTGCCAAATTTCCGGAATTTCCAGGATTTGACACTGTTGGGCAGAGAGAGGGAAACGCACTCTTCCAGTTTATCCCTCAGCTTGCCCTGGTACTCAGCATCCCGGCTCCTCAGACTGCTGCCTTCAAATCTGATCCTCTTCCTGATAAAGGCTCCAATGTCCACGCCCGCTGGCAACTTCGTCCCACTCATCGCCCCCAGGTGCACAATATGTGCATCTTTGGCCGTGACATCCAAGTTTCCCTGGAAGTAATTCTGGCCCACAAAGTCAATCACGACATCCACCCCCTTGCCGTCTGTCGCCTTCAAGATCTCCTCAGACCAGTTTTCCGTCTTGTAGTTAAAGCCAGCTGTAGCGCCGAGCTCCTTGACGCAGAAATCGATTTTGTCTTGCGAGCCGGCCGTTACGTAGATGGCGGACGCGCCGCCGACCTTGGAGAGCTGAATCCCGGCGATGGAGACAGAGGAAGCGCCAGCATGCCAGAGGATTGATTTGCCCTTTGTGAATTCGCCGACCAGATACATCGCTTGGGTGGCTGTGATCCACGTCTGGTATGCTCCGTCAACATCAAGTACATCTTATCCTCGAGTCCGTCTGAACATCGATTCCATCTCAACACCAACACCACCCACGGCCAAAAGAGGCGCGACCTACCTCTGGGACCCCTGCCGCCTTCTCCCAACTCAAATGCACCGGCTTATGCAGCAGCATATGCGTATTCACAGCGATGAACTCCGCATACGCGCCCCCATACGCCAGGCCAAACACCTCGTCCCCAACCTTGAAGCCGTCCTTGCAGCCCTCAGCCAGGCTCTCCACCGTGCCGCTGAACTCGACGCCGAGGATGGGCCCCGCCTGCGGCGGCAGCGGGTACTTGCCCTCGCGCTGTAGCAGGTCCATGCGGTTGAGGCCGAAGGCTTTGATCTTCACGATCGCTTCGCCCCGACTGGCTGTCGGCTTGGGGATCGAGGCAATGTGGAGGGAGGTTGCGGGGCCGGTTTTGTTTGTGATGTCTGCGGTGGATGGGGGTTAGTTTGTGACATTTTGGTTTAGGGAGGTTGTGATTTTGGAAGAGGGAGGGAGTGACAGACCTACGGCTCGCATTTTTGTGGCCATTGTTGTTGTGGTGGTCGGACGTTGCGAGAGGAGTTGCTTTGATGATGAGTTTAGTTATATTATATTCGATAGAAATTGTAAAGAGTGCTCGAATAGTCCAGAGTCAAATAGGAATTGGGGAGACTTCAGACTGGAGGAGGGGAGTGTCTAGCTACCTTTGAGCTGCCCAATGGAGGGGTCGAGACGATGACGACAGCGGGGTAGAATAATTGCTTTATAAGCCAGCCACATTCGGACAAAATAAGGAGATGTGAAAGCTAGGCCACGAACAACGTTTACTCTTGAAAACGGAAACATCGCCCGAGCTACCGCAGCTGATTTCAGACAATTACCCTTGCGCAGAGGAAGTCTAATCTGGTAACAATTTTACAAGCCTTTTGGTGCCAATACTGATCCCGAAACGCCTGTAAATGCAACCTTCCGTGAAGTCATTACCCCCGCGCCCTTCACAGCTGCCCAGCTGCCTTAGCTTGTCTCTCGACCTCGAATGTAAAGTCGAAGTAGCCTTTGTCGAAATGGTGAACTCGAACGTAGCCATCCTCACTTCCACTGGCATATCCCCTTCCGGTTGGATCAGCTGCAACAGTGTCTGGAACCTCCTTGTTAGCAATATTCTGGCAGGATATGAAGTGGGTTGTTAACATACTCAAGGGTCCAAAGTGCCCACGGACTCTGCCAATCTCCTCCTCAAAGATCTTGTGGTAGAATCTGGCTTCAAATTTACCCTGTCTCGAGCTGGTTTGTGTGACATTCATAGCGTCTTGTCCACCCCCGAGTATAACAAATTCCTTGTTGGGGGTCATGGCAGCACTGTTCAAGGGAGTGTCGGTGGCGTAGGTCTTCATGACTTCGAGGTCAGATGCATTAATGAGCTGTGGAATGTGTGAGCGACAAGTCAAAGCCCCAGAACCGTGAGTGTAAGTGCCTGCTTACCTTCGCCGTCTTGTCCTTCGACGCGGTGATGCAGTAGGTGCGATCGGAAGACCATTGGAGATCAGTCACATGGGTATCTTCTTCGCCCTGCGCAAGGGCGTGCACTTGACTGTTGAACAGTTGTTCCCCGGACTTCGCGTCGTACTGCGACACAGATCCATCCCAGTGGCCTGCAATGATGTACTTGGACATGTAGCTCCATCCTGCCACCGTAGCCTTGCTCTCGTCGCAGGTGATTACCAGGGACTTCTCATCCGACTGCTCAGCCTCGACATCAAGCTTGATATCCAGAACGACGATCGTGCCCAGGTGACCCATGCGCTCTTCGGTGACGGCCAGCAGTTTTGAACCATCCTCGTTGAACTCGACCCTCTTGATGGCGGTATTAAAGTTCCATGTTTTGAGACACTTGCTCGTTCTGATATCCCATAGCCTCACCGTGTTATCCGCGGCGCCACTGGCGATCACGGTGCTTGTCGGGTCGCAGTCGACGGTCCAGATGGCTCCTTGGTGGCCGTGGTACGTTCCGAGACGCTCTCCATTGTGGGAAAACCAGGCGCAGATGTGCTGATCCTTCGCGGTCGAGAAGATGATATCGCCGTCTCTGTTATATCTGATTTGGGTGAGAGCCCGCTCCTGTAGTGGGGAAGGTTCAGATTAGAAGAGCATACAAGCAGTAGAGGGTGGTGACTTTGGGATGCGGCTCACATGTCCTTGTAGTAGAATGGGTCTCATATTGGGCGGTTCGATAAGTAAGCTATCTCTCCCTGGAATTTGAATGTTGGAGGGAGGGGCAGCTCTCTTTTCTTATAAGAGTTCGCGATGCGATGCGATGTTAGCCTCAAAAGAATTGTGTGTGGTTGAGGCAGCCAATCAGGACTGGTCTGGTCTTGTAAGTAAGGATCGGACTCGGGGGGTAGAGGAGGGGTCGCCGCTACAAGTGACTCACCTTGGACGGATGAAAGAGAAGACCATATGGGGGAATAAATGCACCCTTAATTGAGTCATTCTCTGCACTTTTTACAGTCACTTTTTTTATTTGAATCGAGTCATATTGTCTTCGGTCGCAAGTTTTACAGGCCCGACATGTCCATGTTCCGGCGCAGCAGCTGTGAAGCGCTGACCTTCCAAACGAAAGCCATAGCAGCAGCTACGGCAACTGCTCCTGCTTCAATTCGTCTACCTTGGCCACCTTTGGACCCAAGGCTGGTACTGCGAGGCCAACAACAGTCCCAGTCCCCGTCCCCGTCCCCGTCCCAGTCCCCGCCCCAGTCCCAGTCCGGTGACCGTTCAGCCTCGTCGGGGAACACCGTAAAATCGCGGGGTCAACGTCTCGGTCATCTTCGTCAATCCTCATCTCTCCCTCTCCCTCTCCCTCCTTCACCTCACCGCCGCACATCTCAACATAGATTGTTCTCCAGTACTAGACTCGCTATGACGGCTACCAAGATTGATGGCACTGCCATAGCGAACAGCATCCGTGAGAGGATCCATGCCGAGATTGAGGCGACCCAGAAGGTCAACCCTCAGTACAAGCCCTCTCTCAAGATTATCCAAGGTAGAGATGCGCCCACCACTGATGGACGCCAACGCTGACCAAAGTCCAGTCGGAGATCGTTCAGACTCTTGTTAGTACATGCGCATTGACCTTCTATGAGCCCTGAACTAACACGTCTAGCTACCTATGTTCGCGCGAAACTAAAGGCTGCTGAGCAGGTAGGCAAATTGCCATACACACCAGTCATACTGCCTGACTCATACTTTGGAATAGGCCAGCATCGACTGCGAACTCCTCCAGTATCCCGAGACTATCTCTGAAGTCGAATTGCTCAAGGAAATCACTCGTCTCAACCACGACACTACAGTCCATGGAATCCTGGTCCAACTACCAGTGCCCGCACACATTTCCGAATATGCTGTTACCTCGGCTGTAGCAGACGAGAAGGACGTTGATGGATTTGGAGCGAGAAATATCGGGGAGCTAGCCAAGCGGGGAGGGCGGCCTCTATTCATACCGTGTACCGCCAGAGGTGTGATGGCTCTGCTCGATGCGGCCGACATCGACCTCACAGGAAAGAACGCTGTTGTCTTGGGACGTAGCAATATTGTGGGAAGCCCCGTCAGCTATCTTTTCAAGAATGCCGATGCCACTGTCACCGTCTGCCACTCCCGAACGGTTGGCCTTGAGGAGCATGTCAAGAATGCGGACATTTTGGTGACAGCCACTGGTAAGGCGAACTTTGTCAAGGGGGAGTGGTTGAAGCAAGGAGTCGTGGTTATTGACGTCGGAACCAACTTCATCCCTGACGAGACGAAGAAATCGGGTCAGAGACTCGTTGGCGATGTGGATTTTGCATCCGCCTCAGAAGTGGCCTCGTATATCACTCCCGTTCCGGGTGGGGTTGGACCCATGACAGTTGCTATGTTGCTTCAGAACGTCGTAGACGCGGCAGCGCGGTCATCGGAGAGCTAGGGTCAGAGCTTTATTCCGAAAAATCCATGAAGCAACACATATTGTCGACGCCATTCCCTCGTGTCACTTTTTGTGATCAACTAACTATTTGTCATGGGATGGATAGTCAATAACCCATTCCTCCTCTACTATACTAATGTTAAAGCTATGATTCTCATCATAACCGGAGCAGACTTGGAAGTCACACGGTCAAGATTATAAGGGTCTTGATCCAATCGTCAGTCAATTACAAGGATCGGCTTGCAAGCCCTGCCTTGAACTACTGATTTTATATAGTACAAGTCTTTATCTTGTATGCTGCGCTGAGCGAAAGATATTGCTTGTCTTTTAAACGGCAGCGTTCATCTCTTCGCCAAGAGAGCAAGATGCGCACGAAGCACGTAAAAGCTTCGAAAGCTTAAAGCGAGAGTATCTTTTCCGCCGTCGTATACTGTAGTAAGGAACGCATTCGAAGGGCACCATGTTGGAGCGAGATTACAATAGAGTAACTATGCCCAAGGATAAAAGGTATAGCTCAAAATGGTACAAAAAGGCCCCGACACATGTTAGGGCTGCGAACTACCCTTGCCGGATTGTAGTGATTGCTGAAAGCAGAATTTTGGTTGAGGCCGAATCTCTCACGATTGGCATAAGCCATTCAGCAATGGCTTTCCAAGGGCTCGATCCGTAAGAGCTCGAGGAGGGATAATCACCTGGGCCGCTCTTTCTTACCCCTCCCTCATGTACCTACCTACTGTACTGTACAAGCAGCGATTTGAATGCGGGTACTTCCGAGTTTCTTTGAGGCCAATCATCGTGGTCCAAACACCGCGATTTGCCGAGCCGAGGCATCATTATGTACCCCGGATTCTCACCACTTCACTCAGCCTCTACAGCCTCTACTACTCTAACAAGCTTCAGTATCTCTTCTCCAAATCCCTACGAAATCTCTCATCATGGACTCTGCTACTCTTTTCGATGTCAAGGCATGTCCCCTGTGAATAAAATTTGCAAAGCCAATGCTTTCGCTTCAACATGGAAAATGGAGGAAGCAAGTACTGACAAGCTACGACCCCAGGACAAAGTCGTCCTCGTTACCGGCGGTGCGAAAGGCATTGGCCGTATGATCTCGGAGGGATATGTCGTTAATGGCGCGAAGGTGTATATTTCATCGAGGGACAGCAAGGCGTGCGAGGAGGCTTGCAAGGAGTTGAATGCGTTGGGTATGGATCTCTTACCTCCATCGCTGTGAACACTCCACTCCACTCCTTGTTACCCTCCAGCTGTTCATTCAGTGCACGGGTCTTGAGATATGAGATGAGTACTAGGATTGGATTCACGATTGAAGTGAATTATAATTCGACTTAAAGCTGGACTCGATGTTGATATAAGGGTGTAGGCAAGGGCTCAGCACACTCCATCCCGGCCGACTTTTACAAAGTGGAGGATTGCAAGCGCATGGTTGAGGAGCTGAAGAAGCGGGAGACGAAACTGGATGTACTGGTGAACAACTCGGGGAGTAACTGGGGCGAATCATATGACACGTTCCCAGAAGCCGCTGTACGATTCCCCCGTTTTTCGCTCTCTCCCTCTTCCCCATCCCTCTCTCGTATCCCCCCAAACGATCCAAGGGCAGCTAGCTAATCGACACTCACTGTCTGGGCAGTGGACCCGCGTCCTCACCTTAAACCTCACCCGCGTCTTCACCCTCACGCAGCTCCTGACACCCCTCCTGGAAGCGGCGCAGACGCCCAGCTCGCCCTCCCGCATCATCAACATCGGCTCGGTCGACGGGCTGCGTGTCCCCTCGCTCGAGACCTTCTCCTACTCGGCCTCCAAGGCCGGCCTGCACCAGCTGTCGCGCGTGCTGGCCAACCACCTCGGCAAGCGGAACATCACGAGCAACACGATCGCGTGCGGGCCCTTTCAGAGTAAGATGATGAAGGCGACGCTCGAGACGTTCGGGGAGGCTATCAAGGAGGGGATCCCGCTCGGGAGGATCGGGAGTAAGGAGGATGTCGCGGGGACGTGTCTCTTTCTTAGTGGGAGGGCGGGCGCGTTTGTTAATGGGGCGACGATTGCGTTAGATGGGGGGAGTTTGGTAGGGAGTAAGCTATAGGGGAGGGTGGAGGGGGGCTGGGCTGGGGGGGGAAAGGGGGGTGTATCATATGCAGACAGGCCAATGTAAGTACATGTATGAAGTGCGAGGAAGTTTATTCGAATCCCCCGTTGGAAGCTGTGCATGGATAAGAGGTGAGTAGACAGATGGCCACGCCTCTCTCTCTCTCTCTCCACTTACGATTACTTCCCTCTTTTCATCTCCCATCTCCCATCTCCCATCTCTCAAGTCCCAAGTCCCAATCCCAAGTCCCAATCCCATCTCCCAATCACCCCTCTATTCTCTCTCGCAATCACGCGCTACTCAAGTTCCAAACCCTTCATATATATATGTATGTATGTATATACATACATATATATAAACGAAATAATACCCACGGTATATACCCACCCACCTACCCACCTACCTACCTACGAATGAAAAAGAAAAGGAAAAGGAAAAGAAAAAGGAATATAAAGAAGTAGGTTTGGGTTTTCTTGGGGGTTTTTAGGAAGAGGGCTTGCCTTCTGCGTGTCTTTTGCTGGTTAGGGATGGGCTGGGGGTGGGCTGGGCTGAGCTGGGTGAAGCGCCATCTTGAAGGTTTGGGCTCAGGAGATCTGCTTCGAGAGGCTGGTTTTGTTGGTTTGTTTATTTAGTTATTGGTTATTTCATTCTTTCATTCATACATTCATTCATTCATACATTCATGCATTCATCACAGCTTGGCTCGCGCCTCGGTAGGGCGATGCACAGCCCCTCCCCTCTCCACGAAATACTCCTCGATCTTCGCCCTCGCCACAGCCAGCGCGCCGACGTCCTCGACCGTGGCCGGGACGGGCACCGCCTTCCCCCAGTCGCCGTGCACGGCGTTCTCGAGCAGCTCCCGCAGCACCCGCCGCAGCGTCTTGCCGGACCGCGTCTTCGGGATCATGCCTTGGCCCTGGATCATGCCGCCCAGCGAGGCGATGGCGCCGATCTGCGTGCGCACGAGCTGCTGCACCTCGGCCGAGAGGGCGGCCGAGGGGATGGCCGAGGGGGGGTGATCCCGCGTCGAGAGCGTGATGAAGGCGAAGGGGAGGTGGCCCTTGAGGGCGTCGGGGATGCCGACGACGCAGCACTCGGCTATGCTTGGGTGCGAGGAGATGGCTTGCTCGATTGAACCTGGATGGGATACACCTGTGTGAGGAGAGGACAAGAAGAAGAAAAAAAAAAAAAGAAAAAAAAAAAAAAAAAGAAGGGTAGGCGAGAAAGTGATGGGAAAGTGACTTACCAGTACTGAATCGGTGAGCAGCGACATTGATGAGATCGTCTGATCTCGACATGACGTGGATATATCCTTCCTCGTCAATCATCCCTGCATCCCCCGTGTCCAGCCACTTGCCCTCAAACCTCTTCAGATACCCTTTGTAGAATCTCTCTTCGTCCTGCCAGAGCGTTCTGAATCCCGTAGGCGCAAGCGGCATGCCGAGTACGATGTTCCCCATGCTCCCCTCCGCGACCTCGTTGCCCGAATCGTCAACGACACGGACGTCGAAGCCTGGCATGGCTTTGCCGGCACTACCAGGCTTGATACCAAGGGGAGCGACATCCCGCTTCGTCGTCTTGCGGTCCTTGCCTGCATGTGGGACGAGGGCAATCCCTGATATCGGAGACCCTGATTCAGACGACCACCAATTGTCGATGACATTGGCGCCGGGGGCACAGTATTCCTTAAGGAGCTCCTGGTACATCGTGACGATGCTCGGCTCGGATCTCTCGCCAGCGAGGAATATGGCCTTGAGGCTTTTGAGGCCGCCCCTGTCGCCAAGCTCCTGGAAAAGCTTGTTCTCGGGGTCGTCTCGCCTAATAGCTCGGAGCGCAGTCGGCGCGGTGAAGAGAGTGTTGACCTTGTACTCTTCGATGATGCGCCAGAAGGTACCTGCGTTTGGTGTTCCGACCGGTTTGCCTTCAAAGAGGACGGTGGCAGCTCCGGTGAGAAGTGGTGCGTAGAGGATGTAAGAGTGGCCGACTACCCAGCCGATGTCCGAGGCACAAAACATGACATCGCCCGGACCGTGGATGCCGAACAGATAGCTGATGGAGAGATGGAGCCCTACGGCATGGCCACCTGCTTCTCGGACGACTCCTTTGGGAAGACCAGTTGTGCCGGATGTGTAGATGATGTATACCCCGTCACTGGACTTGACGGGCACACACTCAGCTTTCACTCCCCTGTTCCGCGCACTTTTGGAAAGACGCTGCCAGTTTCTTTCGCCGTTATTCTTATCGATCGGATCCCATCGTAGCTGGTCTCGTTGCCAGATGATGGTTCTAGAGGGCTTGTGGGGCGAGAGCTTGATCGCCTCTTGGATGAAGGGTCTGTAGGACAATGGTGGTTTGGCGCCATCGATACCACAGGATGCTGTGAGTACGGCAACTGGTTTTGCGGCATCGATTCTCTGGGCCAGAGACGCTGGGGCGAATCCTCCAAACACTACTGAGTGGATGGCCCCTAGGCGAGAAATGGCGAGAATTCCAACCAAGGCAGCGGGGATCATAGGCACTGCACACATGTAAGTACGAGTCTGGTATCGAAGTCACATAGCTGAGATATCTTCCAAATGAGATTGGGCAGGTCCCGACTCACTGTAAACCAGGACAATATCCCCCTTCTTGACCCCTTCTTCCCTCAGCACTCCGGCAAAAGTTTCCACTTCCGCCAGTAACTCCTTGTAAGTGATCTTGGTCTTGGTCCCTGACACAGGACTATCCCAAAGAATGGCCGTCTGATCCCCATTACCTGCTTCGACATGTCTATCCACGCAGTTATAACAATTCGAGATCTCGCCATCTGGGAACCACTCCCAGTGATCGTGCTTGGTGCCAGACTTGAGAGATTTGGAAGTCCGGGCGAGCGCTTTGCTGGGCTTCCTATGCCAGGAGAGATGTGAAGCTTGTTCGGCCCAGAAGGACTCGGGGTCTGTGAGGGAGCGGCGCTGAACCTCGTCTTGGAGATGGAGGGGCATTTTGGAGCTGGGCGGGGATTTGGGCATTGTTGCATTGAGATGTTCCTAT